CTTGGAGCTTGGGTAGGCCGTCGAATGCTCCACTTGGCAGCAACAGCATCTTGTTATAAGACAAATCCCTTCAGATGAGGGGAAGCATAGCACACAGAATCAATGTTAGGTAACACGTTCGCGGCTAACGTTTAGTTTATTGTTTTCCACCAAGACCACTTAAATGCCAAACATGAGCTGCAGCTAGGGAAGCAAGCACATCATGAATCGTGGCAGTGGTGGTGAGGTCCTGTTATCTCTTTACACCTTTACCCTGCCATGCCTACGATGTCCTCATGCGAGAGGTCCTCGCCATATCCATGCTCAAATGACTGCAAATTGAGCGGCTGTCTACAACCTGTTTCGGGGCCATCTGGAATTATCGATGCTGTCACGATTCATAGCATCTGATTAATCCCACATGATGTGTAGAAAATCTACACACTGACTCACTTCATTGGATTGCATTGAGCGGCACTATATTGTAAAACCAAAAAAAGAAAAAGAAACATTCGATGGAGATTTATTTTCAGTATTAAAACTTGGGAACAAGACTCAGATGGAGAGCCAAGGATCAATTTATAGAAAAGGAAAACGACCAAGGAACTACAAGTTACGCTATAATGTCCACTAACACCACCAGTTACTATTAAAACAATCAGCTCATGCGATAACATTGCACGACACTGACCCACGGTACTGACGTTCTACAACTAACTGGCTATCAGCTCTGGCACGCCTTGGATGAGTGCACCAACAGCCTTCCAACCTGGAAGGTTCTAAGTTATAGGATAACATGGGAGGGGAAGGTGGGCGCAACCAAGACAAGCACGACTGTGAAGGACGTTGGCGGGTGTACATGCATGTCGATGACGATACTGGCAAGACCATTAGCCGATACGGTCAAACCACGATTCAAGAACGCAAAGCAACATTCCACACAACTTGTGTGGCTCAAAAGATGCGAAGATCAATAAAAGGGGAAGGTATGCCAACAAGAACAATGAAAAACCTCCTATGTTATCGTATTACTTAGAACCTTCCAAGTTGGAAGGTTGTTGGGATGAGCATCCAAGGCGTGCTAGAGCTGTTAGCCAGTTAGTTGTAGAACGTCAGTACCGTCGGTCAGTGTGGTGCAATGCTATCACGTGAGCTGATTTTTCTTACTTAAAATTAACTGGTGTTGTTAGTGGACAATATAGCGTAACTTATAATCCAAACTCCGGTACAGGTATTTTTCACCGAAAATAAAACCCTCCAAAAATATACGTACATGTATGCCGACTGCAGTACGGGAAACTGGTTTAGCGAAATGTTCGCGCCAACGAACCGTTGATTTTGGGAATTACCGAAAATATTACGCCACCGAAAATTCCCGGGTTTACAGAAAGCCGAAAATTTTGGAATTTTAGATCCCAGACCAGTGTATTTTATTGATTCACGGGGTGCCTGGGGCAGAAAGTGGTGCGGTCAATACCGTAGTGACCGTACCGTGTTCGCCCCTGACACATCACAGATGTGCTGTGGTATATGGTCACCACATCACAGATGTACTCTGGTGCAAGGTCACCACATCACAGATTTGCTCTTGGATATGGTCACCACATCCCAAATGTACTGTGGTACATGGTCACCACATCCCAAATGTACTGTGGTACATGGTCACCACATCACAGATGTGTTCTGGTACATGGTCACTACATCACATGTGTGCTGTGGTACAGTGGATACTGAAAGCTAACTGTAGAAATATTGCCTTACAGTCGGGTGAGTGCCGGCAGCTGCAGTGCTTGCTTGTTTAAAGTTGTCATGGCGTTTGAAGAAAATATCCTGAGAGGATGTACACAGGAAAGAGAAAGAGAGTAGAGGGAGGGGGAGAGAGAGAGAGGGAGAGAGAGAGAGAGAGAGAGAGAGAGAGAGAGAGAGAGATGCAGGGAGGAAGAGAGAGAGAGAGAGAGAGAGAGAGAGAGATGCAGGGAGGAAGAGAGAGAGAGAGAGAGAGAGAGAGAGAGAGAGAGAGAGAGAGAGAGAGAGAGAGAAGGGGAGAGGAGACGCGAGAGGAGAGAGAGAGAGGGAGAGAGAGAGAGAGAGAGAGAGAGAGAGAGAGAGAGAGAGAGAGAGAGAGAGAGGAGAGAGAGAGAGAGAGAGAGAGAGAGAGAGAGAGAGAGAGAGATAGATAGATAGAGAGAGAGGGGGAGAGAAAGGGAGAGGAGAAGAGATAGATAGATAGATAGATAGATATAGATAGATAGCGAGATAGATAGAGAGAGAGAGAGAGAGAGAGAGAGAGAGAGAGAGTAAGTTACATTTATAAAGACAGGTAAGTCTAACAAATGAGGACTGAGACCTCTACAACAGGGTTTTTACGCCTGAAAGCAGGTGCATGATTTAACAAGCAGGTTGTCAGTCTAGATTTTATGCGCAGATGGAGAAAAAGCGCAGAATTTTTGTAATGAGATGAAAAGCAGAACTAATAAGAAATAATAAGAAAAGATGAAATGAAAGCCTGCTCACAACGAGAGAGAGAGAGAGAGAGAGAGAGAAAGAAAGAGAGAGAGAGAGAGAGAAAGAAAGAGAGAGAGAGAGAGAGAGAGAGAGAGAGAGAGAGAGAGAGAGAGAGAGAGAAAGAAGGAGAGAGAGAGAGGAAGAGTGAGTGAGTGAGAGATATAACACAAAGAGGCAGAGAAAACAATCGTTAGAAATGTCCATTTTTAAAATCCAAAAAAATTATCTTCATGTGCATGTGAGACGAGGGACTTCCCCAATCACATCCTGTACTTCGCTGTAGGCAGAGTGAATACAGAAGAACACTTTACCTCCCTTTCATATACTGTAAATATACAAAATTTCGGCGCTGCAAAATTTCGGCACTTCACGATTTTTGACATTTCGGCGGCGATTTATTTTCGGCGTGGGGTAGAGGGCATGGTATAGTGCGACAGATGCTGGGAAAAATTTCATCGGCGTTTTAATTTAGGCGTTTTGGGTCGGTGCCGAATATAGCCGAAATTAAATAGCTGCCGAAAATTTGTATATTTACAGTACAGTCAAACCCGTGAAGGCGACCACTCGGAAAAGGCGGCCACCTGTCCCGGAAGACCACTGCAGCCAGGACCAACGGATGCTATTTCCAGTCAAATGACCCTGGATAAGGAGACCACCTGGTTACAGAGACCACACTTTGTAGGTCCCGTGAGCGGTCGTCTTAGACAGGTGTCACTGTAGCTTTTTCTCTCACCCTTTCATTCTGCAGTGCTCTGTTTCAGGCACGCATGAGAGGTGTTGATACCGAGATTCTTGGTCGGTTTAGCAACGTTGGACTTTTGGATGCGCTTGGATCATGGTTGTGGTATGGATTCATACAAGTTTTAGGGTGGTTTTCCTTCACAGCATGGAGACACGTCCAGCTGTAGCGAGTGAACTGGGCCCTACAGGTAAGGGACTATGGCTCCAATAATTGGCAGATCGTGTTCGATTCCACTCATGACAAACTCGCATATAGCGAATTTTGTGACAACAGCGAGCCATTGTCAATGCCCTTGTTTGAACCCATACAAATTTGACTTTTTGCAGCGAACTGTTTTTCGTTTGTAACGAAAGATTTCTTGTGACCGAGTGCACTCATACAGCCATAGACCGCATGCACGGCGTGACCTGTTGTTTGTATCGTGCGAGTGTATTGCTGTTATAACAAACTTCGGCTATAAAGAACTAAGTCGCCTGCAAAGCGGTATTCGTTGTAATAATTATCAGGAGTCGAGTGTACGTGCGACACGAGGGGCTACCCACCACCTCTCATAATGGCACGGTGACTTCACCATGGGCCGTGTGGATCCAGAAGTCGCCATTATAATAGTAGCCGTGAATGTTTTTACCTCTGACCTCATCCCTTTGAAGACCTATCGGAAAGAGAATGCAGATTACAGTAAAACCTGTCAAGGCGACCACTCGGATAAGGCGACCACCTGTCCAAAAAGACCACTGAAACCAGGATCAAGGGAGTCAAATGCCCCTGGATAAGGAGACCACCTGGTAATAAAGACCACGTTTTGAAGGTCCCTTGAGCGGTCGTCTTAGACAGGTTTCACTGTACTAACATGACACTGTACTCATCCAAAGCAAAAGGCAACGCAGAACAACTACCGCTACTTGTACTTGTTTTTCTCCCAGTTTGGCCGCTTGTGCGGCCGACACAAGACGGGAAAAAGAAGCAAGAAAAACAAAAACAAACTGTCTTATTCACCTTGTATTCGTTCCCTCGTGTTTCTGGTGGCGTATTCACGTTTAAATTGCCGTCCGCTGTCATCTCTTGCGCTCTTCTTCCGACTGCGACTCCTAGCCCAAACTGAGCAGGTCCGCGGCTCAAGTACGTAGTTAGTTTGGAAGCGAAGGCACTTCCGTTGCCCTGGTCTGCCAGAACGGTGACTACTGAGCGCTATCGAGTATCGTTGCCGTCCTTCGGTCGACCATTATTCTACCAACTACCAACCAGCGAAGATAGGCACTGCCGACGCGTGGGGCGACGAGCAGGGCGACGCGTGGGGCGACGAGCAGGGACTAAGTAAGGAGCTTCGAACTACACAAATACAAAAAAATAATAGCCTTCTTCTTTTCCATCGCTGACTTACAAATTTCAAGGCCATTGGACCAGCGGAACCCACAACTCACAAGCAGATCGACACAAGGATTTTTGGGACGGCATCCAATCTCAACTCAAGACAACTCGGGACAAGCCTCAATCTTAGGCTTTTAGACTCGAAGTCGCTTTGTGGGTGAAGCCTGCCTGAAGCCCTGAATGCAACGTGCCAAAGACATGAAACACCTGAGCGGAAAAAAAGGTTATAGGGCGCACACAGCACGAAACTGGGTAGGGTGCAGGGCGCTTATTTACACACCTACAGACTCTACAATGTCATGCAGATGTTTGTATGTCTCACCACGAAGGGCATGATCACGCCTTCGCTGACTACACGTAGATTTCTACGACGTAGACCAGGTAGACGTAGGTCTACTTTAGTACTTATGATTGTAACTCGCCAGCACACTGCGTGAATAGAACTTAGAAGTGCCAAGCTGCGCGCGGTTCCACGCAGTCCGGGTGGTTCGAAGGCTCACCGCGAAACTTAGGTATAGATTTCCTCGATAGTGTGTTCCAAGCTCGCTGTCTGCGTGAATGGACCAGAACTCTGTGTTAGTCAGTAAAATTTAATATGGAGTAGTCTACACGGAAGCTTCTTTAAAAAAAAAAAGTTTTACCGGCAAACAAAACGGCGTGGTCCGTTACGTGGGGCGTTGTAGCATGGTCTACCTGCCTGGTTTGTGGATTCGATCATACATATAAAATGGAACAGCGCTGGCGCCACATGGCCCTGGCCACGAACACTAATCTTTTCTTTTTTTACAAGATAACCACAAACCATCATGGTGCAAACGCCGGCAAAAACGCACAGGGATATACATAGGGATGGCAGCCGAAGCAGTGGAGGCTAGCCATTGGCGGACTATGCTCGGCCAATCGTCAAATTATGTATAGATATAAGAATAATAATAATGGATATGCAGTTGTTCGACATGGTGAGCCCTCTTCTTCATTTTCCTGGCCAGGATTACCATGATTACAAGCAGCCCTCATGCTCAAGTTAGTGCTACATGTACATGTATATCTCTGTCCGTGTACACAACAGGTGCACTCACTGGCTTTATCGAACTGAACAATGCAGCAAACCTTCTACATTACGTGCATTCTACTTGTACAGTCCTGCCCGTAGAAATCTGACCTCATGAATAATATACCATCACAAAAGGCAGAAGAGAACAGAGACAGCCGGCTAGGTCTGTGTTGTAACGCTGCGTTTCATGCACATAGCAAAGCTAAGGCGATCCTCAGACAACTGCGGCTGTTCTTTGTTCTCTTCTGCCTTTGTGGTAATGCTCCATCCTTGTGGTGTTGAGCACTCTAGGCAATCTGGGAACTCTGGCTATTGTAATAATACCATCATGTAGATCTACATGAAATAGCACCAGCGGAGAACAACAGGTCCTACATAATTGCACCACCACACACACCACTCTGCGCTAGGCCCCCGGCGGATAATGCTAGCATTACATGTATATCTAGCGTATTTAGCACTTTCTGGAAACTAGCATTGCGCTAGCATAATCCGGCAAGTTTTGCAGAAACTAGCATATTCTTGCGAACACTAAAAAACTTTGTAGCATATTATCCATGCATACTATGGGATTTTCGTGAGAATTCACAATGCCCTCGCGACTACTGCCGCGCCTTTGCTTGCTGAGTAAATAAAATTCTGGGCTTCTTGTATTTTTTCTGTATCATAGTCATAAAACATGATTATGCTGCAAAAAACATGTACGCTGTTGTCAATCTGCAACATTAGTCATCTACATGTACATGTATACCACTATTTCCATTTTTCCGAAGCAGAATTCAAGCATTATCAATCAGTGCCATTTTTGGAGCAGAATGCGAACATATTGAATAAGCAGAATCCATCATTTTTTTAGTATTATCACCCGTTTGGTTTGGTTTGGTTTTTATTATTTCAGTTCGTTGCCTCAACAGTACAAAGTACAAAAATCAAGAGGGACGAACGAAAAGAGAAAATAAAACAGAGCAGAGAGGAAGATGCAACTGTAAGGAAAGAAAAACGGAGAGAAACGGAGAAGGAATGTGGACTGGGCGGATTCATGAACCATTACTAGAGCAGTAGGCCCTGGCCAGGGGCCTACTCTGCGCACTTGAGCGCTGAGCTACATGTACAATATAACCTGGTGTAAGCGACCTCTGGGTTTAGCGACCACCTGCTCTTAACGACCGTTTTTCTATGCACCGACAGTTCTACACAGACACCGTGGGACCTGGTTCTAAAGACCACCTGGCTTTAACGACCACTTTTGCTTGCACCGTCGGGTGGTCGCTTAAACCAGGTTTTACTGTATTACTGAACGGTTCTGTTGGCGCTGAGGGCGCCGGCCCCGGTCATTCGACCGGATTTCCATGTCCACGACAGTAGTACAACACATGCAATAGTTATGGTAGCAGAAACGATGCAATCTACAATCCACATATACATGTATGATCAGACTTACAAATAGTTCAGGTTTGGCTTGTCGGCCGTAGAGATGGTGGGCAAGGCTGTGAGCTGCTTTCCCGCGCAGGATATGTGCAGGATAGCTCCATCCATGCCCCTCACGCAAGCCTGTTGCGCGCTTGCCGTGTGAATGTTGCACGCCACTGCGACGATCACCAGCAGGAGCGGCAAGACCACCGGTCTCACATACTCTCCTGCAAATACAGGAGAGAAAGAGAGAGCAAACCCCTAACTTAAGATCACCTGCCACTGAAGACCGCTTTCTTTGGCCCCTCTCGCTCTTCCGCCCACTTGTCAAGTACAGTAAAACCGTATACATTATAGCGTAACGTGTACGTGTAGCTCCTTGGTCCTGTTTTCTAAACACAGTGGAACACAGTGGAACACAGTGGAACTCGATTAGTACAACACACAGGTACAACACACAGGTTGCTCGCATGTGAAAATCTATAAATTGCAGCAGATTATTTTTTATTATAAATGCTGGACATGGATATTGAATTAAACTGTACTCAGTGACTTTTTACATTCTACAGGCTACGTTTTATTGTTGTTATTATTGCAAAGCTTTCCTTTTGATCTTCAAAATTTGAGTAATAAATTAAAAAAAAAAAAATTAGTACAACACTCCGATACTCCGATAAGACTCTCGCCTAGAACGGACATGATCCGGAAAATGGGTCTATCCACTCACACTGTAGTGAAAAAGAGAACCAATGAACTCCAATTGGACTCGGGCGGAAGGCCAGAATTGATACTTGCAAGAAGAAAAGAGGACCAAAGAGCTACCAGGTAGGTGTAGAACGTCAGTACGGTGTCATGCAGTGTTATCGCATGAGCTGATTGTAAAACTAACTGGTAGTGTTAGTGGATATTATAGCGTGACTTGTAGCTCTTTAATCCTCTTTTCTTCTTATAAATGAACAAACAGTTACGCTAAAATGTCAACTAAAACCACCAGCTACTTGACAATCAGCTCATGCGATACCATTGCACTGGTGGTGCTAGTGCCGGTAGTGCACATTATAGCGCAACTTGTAGTTCATTGGTTCTTTTTTTTCTTTCCTACACATCCTTGGCTCGCCATCCGAGTCTACATCGTCACACTGAAGTATTTTGGGATAAGAAGTGCTTGGGGTACTCAGCACAGTAAACGTTCCAAAAAAAACCCCAGTTAACGTTCCTGCTGGCTGCTGCCTATGTCTTATCAGCGTTCGGAGTCCTGTATTAGCCGACATTTCTTTCTTTCTTTTTTACGAAAAAAACACACCATTTTTTTGTATTGTGTTGTATTGATTTATTTGAATTCGGTATCTCAACAGTACACTGTACAACTTGGGAAGATCCGAATGACATAGATACATAAGCATAAAAGGGATTTGATGACACAAAGCAGCAAGGCAGCGATGAGACATTATTTTGGAATGGCAGGAGTGGGGGAGAGCCAGGGGCAGCTTGACCGACCAAAGGGTCTCGGCTTCATTGCAACCCAAGCGCTCCACAAAACTTTGAGCTGTTCAATGCTGTCACTCAGGCTACCCCTACAGTAGAATAACTACAGTGCTGGAAGCTGAAATCCGACCCTTGAGCGATGGGTTCACCTTCTAGCGGTCTCTATTCCGTAGTGTTACAATCCTGTGTTGGGTCTTAGCGATGTGAGCGCACCGCTCACCGGCCGAATTTCAGTTGCCAGCACTGTAGTCTGCAGTTCTATTTCTATGAAGACGACGGTAAGCAGCAGCATTAGGTCCTGTACAGATTCAGCTCAGTTCTATTGCAGAGCTGAATTACAACTTTGAAGAGTCGGGACATCTAGATCGAGAAGACTCTGTTCTGGAGTAAAGTGCAATGCCTGACCCGGATTTCCCAAGCTACATAACGTTAGGAAAAGGGACCTGAGCCAGAGTCTAACCATTCTATTGAGCTCGCTCCCTGCCCGGAAGTGTGCTTCGATACAGACGTACAGCCCAGTGCAGTACATGTATAAATACAAGGTCTTCTTGTCCCAATTTCCCATGTGCTTCGCACCCATCATTTCAGACACGGGACTCTCTCTGTTCTCACACTCCCGGTAGCCATTACACGCTGAACAAGCTATGGCAGTTGCAAGAACTTACTTCGATTCTTCATGGCCACAATAGCAAGAAGCAAACACATAGCTGCGACCTCTGCTCCAGGAAGACACGACCTGCGCTGCACCGAGAAAAACAAAACCAACTGCTGGAACGATGATCTGCTGAAAGGGCTGCTGTTGAGCGGATTGGCTCGGGTTAGAGGGCTGGCTGGCTTAGTCTGTTTCGTGCGTCAGACATTCCATGCGAGCCAACGTACATGATGAGGACTGGTCGGGTACGGCCGGTCTCCATGGACGGTGATCCCGAAAGACATTGGGCCTGCATCTCGCATGTTTAATTAATTGGTATACTCAATGTCGATAGAGCAGCCGGCCATGGTATCAAGAGTTCAGTGGAACCCACTTAGTATGTACTCGGATTATATAAACTCTTGCTTAGTACGTACATTGTCCGGAGCGCGGGTGTACTGATCCACACTGAAGTATGTTAGGATAAGAATTACCCCGGATATTACACACTCTTTCCTGCTGCCCATGACCCCATGGGGGTACTTCTTATCAGAGTAGTACTGAATAAGACGTCACTCTTGAATATGGTTTAATTGGAGGCAAAGTACAATGGTATCAAAAGCTGCGGGCTGATCGCAAACAATATTTCCGAACTTCTCAAAAGCACTTTCCGGATGTTTCTGATTAGTTGTAATACAGGCAAAAAGAAACCAAAAGAAGCACGGTGAATTGTATAGAGCAGAGAGCAGAGAGGCGATAGAAACGGTGCAAAGAAGAGTAGCGACAGCTGAGCACCATCAAATGTGCAAACTCATACGCACAGGCGGAATGATAAAGAAAACAGTCATGCACTTCAAGGTCCATGCAAAGAAACCTAACAAGAGTGCAGCGCAGTGCGGCTACACTAGACAAAAGGAAAACAAACTAGCGACTTGCTGACAACCTACCAAACAGCTTGCGAGCCAGTAAGCGTATCTCCGACATGTACATGTATGGGGCTTACGTATTTATTGTGCTGTTCCTGCCTACTCTTCTTATTGATGGTTCTATCACATTTCGGCCGTTACAATTCATTCTACTCGTTGAGTATCTACTTGCCTCAATTCCACCAGATGAGAAGGTACCAAAGGTACTTATGAACATTAAAGATATGTGACATGTGAGGAGATTAAACGTGTTCTTCTTGTAATTTTGTCTTGTAACGATTTCTTGCGCTTGTTTTGTTCAAGTGAAGCTCGCTGTCTGATTGAACACTGCATGATGTCGTGATGACGTGAGGCGAGACCATGTCTCTTGTGAAGCCCTGTTGCGCACCCGAAACTCACCAGTCACCACTCAGATCGCAGCGTGCTCTGTGTGTGTGTGTGTGAGTCAGAAAAAGCCACTTCATAGCTGTGTGGTGTAGACCAGGCTGAATTGTGGCGGTCAATTCTTCAGCTTGGCAAGCTGTTGCAAGGTGCAATCCCAGCACAAGTAGTTGCTATGGCTTCTGCTGTAGCATTGCCATCATCGGCAAAGGCGATGGACGTCAAAAGTAGCAAAAGGTCAAGTGTGAGTATCCTGGGTGCTGATCACTACTGGAAGTGTTAGCACCGTAGTACTCGCGGGGGTTATGCACTCCTTGTCCTCAGCAAGGGTATGCACTCGTAATTCGCAGCTTGTACAATGCATGTACGTAGAGACAGCCTCGTGAATAGCAATCTCGGGCATAACGAACTCGGGAATTACAACCTCGGGTATAACAACTAAAACAACAGATCTAGAATAGCGACAATATCGTCGGATTTTGTAACCCTGTGACTGGATACTTTCAACATCACGAATAGCAGAAACTCCATGGCCGGACGTGTGTGTTTATTCGTTAGGTTCCCTTTAGTTAAAGTAATTCCACCTCATCCTGCCTTTAGGTCCAAATTTTATTAAAGCAATCAGAAGAATCAGCGAAGCGGACATGTAATCAACAAGAACACCATTATGAATAATAATTTCCTAACCGATTTTCTAGAGACTTCATCAGGGAAATACGTCTCAACAATGAAATCTAGCAATCAACAATATAGCAATAGCAATAGCTCTTTGGTGCTAGATGGCAAACCATGACAAAATACTGTCCAGAATGATTCTCCGTTACATCTGTTCCAACTAGCGTGGCAGGCGTGCTTTTGTGTTTGCGACCGCCAGACCGCAACCAACACAAATGCTTGTAACTTAGGTTTTACTGGGAGTTTTGACTAATTTTTTTAAATGATTTGTGAAGCTTGCAGGTATATGGTGCACTAAAAAACCCAATTTCCAACATTTGAGGCTAAGCACCCTTTTCGCGTGCTCTGGCTCATATACGTGGAAGAGTACTGGGAACATTATAGTGTGAAAGAAAAATTGGAGGAAAGAAGGCGAAGAACGAAAGATTCGAGTAAGTTTGAACTAATAATAACAGGGGTAAGTGAAAAGAGAATAGAATGAGGAGGTGAGAAATAACGAAAGTGAAGATGTATAACAGTGTGAGACGTGTGTGTGCGTGTGTGTGTGTGCGTGTGTGTGTGCGTGTGTGTGAGTACGGTATGTGCGTGTGTGAGTGTGTGGGTGGGTGCATGCGTGCGTGTGTGTGCAGGTATGTGCGTGTGTATGTGCGTGTGCGTGTGTATGTGCGTGTGCGTGTGTATGTGCGTGTGCGTGTGTATGTGCGTGTGCGTGTGTATGTGCGTGTGTATGTGTGTGACGGTGAATGCTCAGAGAATAGCCCAGTGAATCGTTCTTTCTGGATGCATAGGTTGGGGTTATGCTTGGGAATGAAAACAGCTTCCAATACGGAGTTCTATAAACCTACGAGCATGGCACAAACTGTGAGGCTTGTGTTTGTACAAAGAAGTCATTCAGCTATACATTTTTTTACTTCGAAGTAAAAAAGTGCACGTGCAAGACAAGCATGGAAGAGAACAACAACAGCAGCAAGGGAACATTGTACAGTGCTAGCAACTGAAATCCGACCAGTTCACATTCTAGCGGTCTCTTATCTCGTAGTTTTACTATCCCTTGTTGGGTCTTTGCGATGTGAGCGCACCGCTCAGGGGGTCGGATTTCAATTGCCAGCACTGTATTATCACGATGACAATCTGTAGTTACTCGATCTATCTGAATCTGTCCATCTATCCGTCTAACGTTATCTTCAGCTAATGCTGTTACGAACACGATGGTGCTGTACTCTCTCTTTCTCTCAGTCTCTGCCTTTTCTGCACTCCAGCCATGACACCAATTTGATTGCCTTCCGCCGATGAGTCCGCAGTAAAAATCCGAGATCAGCCACGTGATGAGGAGTTGCATGGTGGAGTAGTTTGGAGAGGACGTGGAAGTTCTCCTGATGTGCATACCGTATTATCTCTAATATAAGCACGGTCCTTTATTTCTTCAATGTACCTCCGCCCCGTGCTATTAACGGAGACGTTCCTTTATTGGAGACGTTCCATTATTATTTCAACCTCATTTCAGAGGCATGTTGCCATGCCAAATTCATGTATGACACACACATTTGGAGACGTGCTATTATTGGAGACTGTGCTTATATTAGAGATAATACGGTAAGCGTGGAAGTTCTCCTGATGTACATAAGGAGCTCAGTTGGATTTCCCTTGCCAGCATTGCAATCGGAAGCCGGTCTCTTTCCCGAGTGCCTCGGCCCAAGTGAAGCAGCTTCATAGCCGTCGTACATGAGCGGCATGGAGTTGGTCTGCGGGCAGTGTACGATTGCCTTGTCTCGGGCTGTAAACACACGCACCCACAAACGCACGCACGCTGAGACTCAGACACCCCCATCGCGGAAGTGAGGATAGCGAACAGCTTGTGCTGGGATTACACCATTCAACAGCGTGCAAGGCACACACACACACACACACACACACACACACACACACGCACACACACACACACACACACACACACACACACACACACACACACACACACACACACTGGATCAGCGGAAGGTGAATCCAGGCAGAATGGCGATGACTAGTTAGAAACAGCAGCAGCAGCGACAGCAGCAACACCAGTAGCGGCAATACCAGCAGCAGCGATAACAAATAAACAACAAAATAATCAGACAAATCAAGACACACAGGAAACTCACTAAGCAGGTTGAGTGTGATCACCACCACAGCGCAGTTCAGCACTGGTATTAAGCAAGATTAGACATCGCAAAGGACGGCCACGAGGGCGGGATTCCTAGAACTACGCTGACATGCATGTGCCCGGGATCCAAATGCAGTTACCCTGCCCCCGGTGAGGGTGATACTTGCATTTACACGCACTTGAACACGCACGTGCCCATGCACACACGCATCTCGAGCTGCACTCACAGTGCTGTTAGCAATGCGAGGTTATCAAAGATGTTGGTCTGCAGAGATTCTATAAGGTTGCGGTCGATTTCTCTGCCCAGACAATACAAGAAACACAGAAAAAGGCAATAGCGTGTTTCAAAACTATGGACCTCTGGATCTTGTGAAATAATTCCAAATATATATGTGAACGCCTTGGAAACAAAAAAATTAATTGTGGTTTGAGTTGTGCCATTACTCCAACACACAAGTTGAAAGTCCACTTGTAGCTAACCAGAAGAGGTTTCTTGTGACTTTCTTCAGTGATCATCGTCCCTCAAGGTATTAGACATACACTGTACCATATTTTCCGGAGTATCATTGGCTTACGAAGGGAGGAAGGCAGTTGTGAATCTGATGAGTCCCCTCGTACTGTTACTTCTCACATCATCTGTTCTCTGCGTGCGCCACAGTAGAACACCCCGGATCCGTTCAAGTTGGGACCGAGCACAGAGCACTGCTCGGTCTCAACAAAAAAAAAGACGAGATACAGCACTGAGAACTACTGATCTAAATTTTAAAAACACTTTAAGATAAACTAATTCTTCTTTTGCTTACACAAGATCGGTTTAGTTGCCGAAAATGTGACTCAAAAACACGCACATAACCCCGACTAGGTGCACGAGACGAGACTGAAAACAACCGTCAGAGTAGCTAGAATGACATTCACCACTAGACACAAGACGATTAGCCACAGCAGACTGGTCGTACACTTTAACATTAACGGAAACAGCATAATATTATTATTTTTTTCTCTACAAAATCCACATGTCT